ACTCTGCCAGCTGAAAAGTGATCAAGCTTTTTTAATAGAAGAACTAAGAATCTCTAGATATTTAAGGAAACCTAACATGAATGGAAGAGGAGCCCCAAGATGATCAAAACAGCTTATTGATGAGGAAAATAATTAATGTTTTATACAGAAAATAATGTTAAAAAGGTATTATATCTACAAAGCAAGTTTGGGTTACTATGAAAAAGAAATAATCACAAAACAAGATACATAATTTTTGCAAGAAAAATAAAATTTTGTATAAGGATTAAATTAAGAAGACCAAAAAAATTGACCTGGGAAATATAAGCAAGGAATTTTCCCAGTTTTTAGAGAAAAAAAAAGAAATTAAGAGACAAAGTTAAAAAGCATGCAGAACAGATTTGGAAGTATAATGTTCGACTAACAAGATTTATAGAAGAAAGTAAGGAAAAGATGAAAGGGAAAAATAAATAATAAAAGAAATAATAGAAGAAAATGTCCTCCAGCAGAAGAAAAACTTGTTCTGTGAATGAAAGGCTCCAACGTGCTGAAAAGATCATTAAAAAAAACAAAAAACAAAAAACAAAAAAAACGCACACGCACACACATCAAGCCATATCCTGCAAAATTTCTATGTTAAAGATTAAATAGAAAATGCTACAAAAAAAAAAAAACTTGAAAAAGAACTAAGTGGGTCGGGCCTGGTTAGTACTTGGATGGGAGACCACCTAGGAAGACCAGGTGCTGTAGGCGTAAAAAACTTTTAAAAATAAAAATTAAAAAAAGGGATTGTAAGCTAACAATGTCCTTGCAATGTGTGAGGTCAACCAAGGGTTGTCTCACCTAAAAAAAAAAAGTAACTTTCAATAGTCAGGGTTGCCTCACCTAATAAAAAAAGTAACTTTCAACAGTCCTCCAGTAAATTTCTCATCTGCGTCTCAGTAACTTTCAACAGTCAGGATTGCCTCACTTAATAAAATGTAACTTTCAACAGTCCTCCAGTAAATTTCTCATCTGCGTCTCTAAATGCTGTAAGACAAGAAAAGAGATTTGAATGTGGAATTCTGAACACAGCAAAAGATCAACTAGTGTGATGGCAAAATAAGGACGTGTTTGGTCACGAAAGGATTCGAAAACTATTCTACACATATATCCCTTTGGAAAGAATTATTCCCCAGTTCAAAGCGAAAAAAGACGTGGGTAGGGAAGGAAGTGATACAGCAATCAGAGAATCAAATAAACCAGTAAAACATTAAATTAATTGTAACTAATTTCTGATTGTGAAAATAAAATTTATGTCACTCAGAAAGGATTCTTAAAGATAATACCAAACTAGAATGAAATATCCGAAGGGTGATAGGAGAGCAGTTGCTTAAAAAGTATACTGAAGATTTTGTTTTGTATGAAGGAAGAATAATGAATAATGATTAATTTTTTATATTGTTAGAAATATGTTTAAATGTTTATTAAAAATTTAGTGGTAATAATTACTAGGATAAAGATAGGATATAGAAATTTTAAGGCAACATTTCTCATAATATGGTCTCGTAGATATTTTCAGAGGTCTGTGAAGTTAAAACTATTTTCATAATAATAGTAGGACATTATTTGCCTTACTCACTATGTTGACATTTACACTGGTTTTACAAAACTAATAGTGTATAAAAGTTTCTGTTCCTGATGATATAAATCAAGGTATTGACATCAAGTTGTCCTTGAGTCATTGTATTCTTATCAACGCACGCTCACAATAAAAACAAAACAAAACAAAAAGTGCTATTTTCACTTGAGAATGTCCTTGAAGAAGCAGTATAAAATATTTATTTTATTAACCTCAAAATCTTTAGCATATCTGGGTTCACATCTTTTTAATATTCTGTGTGACAAAGTAGACAATATGTATAAATCATTGTATAATTTCAGTTTTACTTTAAAACTAACTTTTAAAAAAACTAACCTTTAAGAAACTACACTTGTTGAATTTTGTTGCAGTATCAAAGAATATCTATGATTATTTGAAATGGTTATGAAAATATATTTTCCTTTTCCAACTATCAATGGAAGAATTTTTTTCCACATATTTCAATCAGAATAATATTTTGTAACAGACTGAATGAAGCTCATATGAGAATCCAGCAGTCATCTATTAAGTCAGACATTAAAGAGGATTGCAAAATGTAAAGCAATATCACACTTCTCACTAAATTCTTTTGGTTTTGAAATTTTAGTTACTTTTCATTTTTAAAATGTTATGTTGATATGCAATAGGTTTACAATTATTACTTTAGGTGACTCATAAATATATATTTAACTTTTCATCTTTAATTTCTAATATGGTAAGCATATATATATTTATATAACCCACACAAATATAAGGTTTTTAGAGACTTCAAAAGGAAAGTCCTTAAAAGGGATTCTGAGAACAAAAAGTTTGAGAACCATTGTTCTAGAAAATCACTAGAGAAAAATAATGGAAAAAAAGTGTTGATCAATGAAACAAAATCAAGCAAAAATAAAAGCAGTGACATAGTTGATGGAAAAAATAAAACCTTGCATATCAGCAATTGCAGTAAATGAAGGTGATTTAACCACACCTTTAAAAATTAGATATCTTCAACTAAATTTAAAAAGAAAATACTGTATTTTTTTTTCTGGCACTTCCGATATATAAGAAAATTGACCCTATATCAGGTCATTAAGCAAGACCACCCATTTCAAAGAATGTTTATGATACAGACTAAATTCTCTGCTGCACATAATTAAGTTTTAAATCAACAAAAACAAGGTGAATTTTAAACACTATATGTTTAGAAATTATAAAATTCTCTTCCAAATATTCATAAGTCAAAAAAAAAACAGCTCTTAAGGGACTTTTTAAAAATTAAGACTCAATGATAAAATATATGCTACATTTTGTGGGATATAGGTCAATCAGCATCTAGAGGTAAACTTCACAGCTTTAAATGCTTATATTAGAAATGAATAAAAGCTAAAAGTTAAAGAGCAGAGCATATAATATATTAGAAAAAATAATAGAACTAACCCAAAGAAAGAAAAAAGATATGCTAAAGATAAAAATATAAATTAATGAAGTAAAGACATGATAGAAAAGAAAATTTAAAACAAAAGTTGGTTCTTTGAAATGACAAAGAAAACTAACAAACTGGCAAGAATAATCAAATATTTGAAGAGGAGACGTAATTTCAGACGTAGCACACATTTTTAAAAATATACATTATAAATACCTTTATGATAATCAATTTTAAAACTTAGACAAAATGGAAACATTTCTATAAAAAAATATGCATAATCAAATTTGATTTAATTACTTGGAAAAACAGTAATTTTGCAGTGGAGAAACCTGGCAGCTGCTGCCTTAACCGAGTGATGAAGGCTAACACCATTGTGATGTCATGCACACCCTGAGATGATGTGATAAGAAGGACACCTCATCTCTGTGGAATTCTTTCTAAAAATCCATAATCCCAGGCTAATCGTGAGGAGAACATCACACAAACCCAAAGGCAGGGGCAGTCTACTACATACTTCACCATGGATGACTATCATATCAACCGTGTGTGAGAAAATAAGTAAAAAAGGTTATGAACCATGAAAACAAAGAAAAATTAACAACAATTAACTTTTGCAAGTAGAACCACAAATGATTTGTCTTTAGTAATTTTTCTTTAATATTGCTTATACAACTGATTATAAATGGAAACATGGACCATCCAGCTGATGGAGAAGTACCAAGTACTAGAGTAAAGAAAGAAGCCTGGGGAACTGACAAGTTTGGGCATTTTCCTCTCTGTGGCATCCATAATTCCTGATTTCCCTTTCTCTGCTCTACCCATAAAAGCTGGTCACAGCGACTTTTATACAATTCACCATTCCAAAGCATGAGGTTTCTACTGTGTACCTTCCTTCGCCCATATGGAAAAGCTCCCTTTGATTCCTTGTAAGAATAGATTTGTACTTTGTGAATCCTCCTAGTCCTAATTTATGACTAAAAGGCCTACTTACTTAGAAGAGAAATGAAACTCAAAAAAGCATTTCATAGCTTATGTAACTTAAATTCTAAAACTACTCAGAACTAGATATAATCTATATACCTATGTATTTGTAAGAATTGCCAATGGCCTGAGGTACAACTTGTTCTTGTGGTTATGAATTGAATCATAGCATGTACGTGCTAAAAGCCATCTTCATAATACCCACTCCAAAGTTCTCATTTTACAAATGCAGAAGCTGAGGTCCAGAGAGATCACAGGACCTCACATCATTTCCCTACGACACAGATATCTTTGTTAACATCAAAATGACTAGAGGACAAGTTGCTGGAAGACACATGCCCTATTGGCTAATTTGTAGTGCTTTGCAAACACACGAGCACTCTTCTATTTGAGAGTAAAATAAAAATTATATGCACCTTCAGACAAAAGGTTCTCTCCTCCACCCACATCCCCTGCCTTTAATTCCCCCCTTCGATCACTGAATAAACTTTTATTGATCTCCTACTGTACAATAGGCACTGATTTAGGTGCAGGGAACACACCGTTGACCAAGTGTGACAAAGTCTGCTATTCATTCATTCATTCATTCATTCATTCAAGTAATCTTATCATCAGAGCTTTCTCCAGAAGCTAACAAAAATCTCATCCCCATGCTCACACTTTGAGGTCCTCTTCTTGTTAATAGGTTCTGATCCTTAGATATGTCAGTCCAGGTATAAAGATATAATAGAAAATTGTATCATAGAAGGTATGTACGTTTATATACTGGAGGCACTTCGACTTATAAACATTTGAAATTAGGATAACAGGGATTTGACAGATCTTAATTGAGCACCTGCTATGGGTTGACTCTTCTGAATCCTGGGATACAGTGATGAAAAAGAAGAAACCAATAGCTGCCCTGGTGAAAGTTTTGCAGATGAATACACAATTGCAGATGTGACAAGTATTAATAAAGAAAAAGCACAGGGTGCTATGAGAGACTATGTCCTGGGAATCCTGTGGTGATCATGAACACTGAATATGTGGTGGTAGATATTTATCAACAGTCCTCCAACTACAGAAAGCATAAGTGATCAAGGATCCCACTGCCCAGTTCTGAAATTAATGACATTTGTGTAAAGGCCACACTTCCTCATAAGTCAGGCCTAACTAGGGCAGGCCTAATCTTGAAAGGCAGAGACTCCTTTGATGGCTGACTTTGGCCTGAAGACTCTCAGTGGCCTTGCCAAACCTTCCTGAAACTGCAGGCTTGGAGGTCTCCACTCAGCACTTCTTTCTCCTTCACTCGGTGTCAGACTTGCATGGCAGTATGACAGCCACTCCCACCTTTGCCAGATCCCTCCCGACTTTTTCTCACAGGTGGTTCATCTAATTAAATCCTGTATGTTTAATCCCATCTTGGAGTCTTCTTCTCAGAGAACCCAAATGAACACAGATCTAATTTAGATTGAGAAATCGGGTTACTGGGGAAGTGACACTTAAGCTGAGACGTGAAGCAGGGAAGATAAGATGGGAAAAAAATGAAAGTAGAGATGAAGGACGGCACGACATGAACAACATGTGTGAGGTCCCTGAGGCAGGATGGACCTTCTCCCAATCAAGGAATTAAATGAAGGACAGGGGTAGTGGGAACATAATGTTTCAAGATGGAAGAGAATAGGATCTGATGAAGCTTAAGAGATAGGCAGAGGTCAGATTATGCCAGGATTTGTAATTCACTTTAAGGATTTTCAATTTTATTCTAAGTGCATGAGGTAGGTATGCAGGGTCTTCAGCAACAGAACAACTTGATCAAATATGTGTTTTAAAAAGATCACTCTGGCTACAGTGAATGGATTGGAAAGAAAAGAGGTAGTAGGAGACCAAAAAGAAGCTACTGAAATGGTCCAAGACAAAAAGATAAATTAAGGATTAGTTTTCTAACTAAAGAAAAAAAATCATTTTCATAAGATCTCTCTTAAGAGTATATAGCCTTTTTCTTTATCTCAAGGCTCAGTATTTTGTGCCTTATTCTTTATTTAGGTACAAGTCTTAACTTTTACTGTCTTTGTGCAAATTGGTATTAGGTCTTACGCTAATGCTTACTCACGTAGCATGTGAATTAGCCTGTGCTCTCCAACATTAACAGAAATATTTAATGGTGAAAACATTAGAATATACCTCCATCTTTAACAGATAAAAAAATCGATTAGAGACCCAAAAGATGACACAAGGAAGTAATGAGAAAATGCATACAAAAGCCTTATAAAACCTGCTGGTTACACAAAATGTTCCTTCTATAAAAAAAAATAGGGCAAATAAATGGGCTTGACTATATAATAAACTTAACTTAAATCAAATAATCCAGTTAACTTTGGTTTGCCTTATTAGAATTTACATGGACTTCTGAGAACGCTACGAGGAAAACAAAAACCAATTACCTGTTTTTCTTCTTCTGGACAATAATCAAAATCAGTTATTCCTCTAGCCTTAGATCTGTGCCTGAAGTTAAATATTAATTTTAAAATTGTAACTGTTATGTGAATGTATATGAATATGCATATGTATATATATGTATATTTTTATATACACATGCTCGGGATTAGGGTGGGGTGTGTGTGATGTAGGCGAAGGTAAATAGTATGGAGAGAAGAGATAAGAAAAGGAAAGAGAGGAAGGCAGGGAAAAAAAACCTGTATATAATATAATCACATTTATGCAATTATTAAAATTATGTTTGTGTATAAAATTATATACAAATAAAGAAATTTTTAAAAGGGAAAGAAGGAAGAAAGGAAATAAGGAAAGGAGAGGGGAATGAGGGGAGGAAGGAAGGAGGAGGACGGAAAGAACTTCTCCTCATAAGTGATGCTGGGGCTGGTAGTTAAAGGTTTTATTTCATTTGTGTGTTTACTTATTTAAATTAAAACCTTATTTGAAACCATTACAATAAATTCCGAAGAATTTGTCAGTTAGATTGAGTATGCAACCACACACACACACACACACACACACACACACACACAGAAAACTAAAAGAATATGTAGGTGACTCTGTAATCTGCTCTTGGATTTGGCAAGATTTTGTTAAGCATAAAAACAATGGGAGAATCTATAAAAAAAAGATAACTTAGATCATTTTAAACATTAAAAATGTGTAGGAATTTCAGGGTAAAGACATAAGAGTGAGGCTGTATTACAAACTCTCTCTCCCATAAGACCTAACATAAGTAGACAAAAATTGTGCACACGTGTCAAAAACTTACCAACTGCACAATGAAGGTGCACAACCCCATGCCATACAGTATAACAGATGGTGTCAAAGGGAAGAAACAGAAGGTTTTTGTACCAATGTGCCTCGTCCAGAGCAATATAGGAGACAGAAGTTAAATCAACAGATTATGGCACATTCTCGCTAATATCCCTCCAATATGAAGAGAAACTCAAAGACATATGTGAATAACAGCTTGGGAAAACCCTTTGAGAAAAATCATGACCCCCACCATCAAACTTTAGCAGAGATGTAAAGAACTTAGGGTCTTTCTGGTCTGGTAAAAAAGAGAAGAAATGCAGAATGACCTCAACCATATATAAGTAACTTGTTAGCTAAGAGTGAATCGTTCTATATTGAAAGGACATTGATTAGTAAGTCTCCATAGAAAGATAATATGTTGTATCAGGGACTAGCAGAGAAGCACTGGGAGAAGCGTCTAAGAGAAGGACCGGGAGAATGCAGAATGGTCACGTGCTTGTGAGCAAATAAATGCACAGGAGAAACCGGAACTCAGGTGGAGCTCTACCAAGTGAAAAGGAGATTCTGTGTGGGCCCCACTCCTGGGCACACTAGCAACTGGTCCCTTTCCCCATCTTAACGGTTTTATAATGGGAAAGGACACAGATAGGTAAAATAAGTAAAATCAGGAGCAGAGCAATATGTTTTGTAGGTGTCGCCACTTCAGGGGAAGATGTGCAGGAGAGTTCAGAAAGGGCGTGCTATGCTGTGGACGAAGCACAAAGTCACAGTAGGTGAGGTGAGCCTGTGTTACGAATAAAGAGGACCGTCCTGAGCCCTGAAGCTCTAGAATGTCTGAGACTCTTCAGACACATGGACGCTCCTGCTGGCCCTGTGGCAGGGTCAGTGGGAATAAGCGAGACGTTGATGAACCCAGGTCGCACCTTTACCTAGTATCACCACTGCATGAAAATGTGCAGTTCTATTTCCCAGCCTCAGTCCTATCGAGAGGATGCTAGACAAACTTGCGCTAAGCCTGTTAGAAAGAGTGGTGAGGTTGCAGGAGACATAAAGCCTTCCTTCCAGGAAGTGTAGCCGCTTAATTACAATGCTGGTAACGCTTGTATCAGACTACCTCAGACATACCTGGAACTCTAAAGAAAGACAAACATCAGTGTTGTACTTTTTATATTATTTGACCTTCCATGTAAACCTCACCTTGTTTTTCTTGTCTCTGAAGAAAGTGAGCATTTTTTAAACTTACACAGACTCCCCAACTAATGTTAGAATATGTCCCAATAAAAATGTCCTACAGAGCTCCAAATACAGTAAGCAGCCTAATTTTCTTTGACAGAAAGAGGCCAATAGAGTGACAGTCAGCATAGCCCTTTGTTCCAGTGGCTTTTGTGACTTGGGGTTATTGTGGCAGCTGTCTGGACACTTTCCCTGCCCTCTTTGTTGTGCAAGGGATCTGGTCCAGCCAGAGGGATTAGGCTGAGTGGAAGAAGGAGCTAGCGCTATCCCCAGGAGTGAAGAAGAACTTAGAACTCAAAACAAAATGGT